TTTTTTTTTTTTTTTTAATCTAACTTAGCGGCTGTTCGTTTTTTTTTAAACGGGCAGCAGGACATAGAAGCGTCTGAACTCGACGCTTATGGCGCCTGGGTACAGGCGCACGAGAGAGAAAAAAAAGAGGGCGGGGATGACTACGCCAGGCCGTTTCGTCGGACTTGCACCAACTCATCTGGGGGTTGCAGCCCCGACAACCCATCTGAGGATGGGCAAAATCGAATGAATATACCCCTAGATCGTGGAGGGGTGTAGACGCCCACTTTCAGGACGTTGGCACATATTTACAGTTAAGGTTTTTTTTTTTTTAGTCCCCTTTGTTTTCTCCCTCCACGTTACAGCCGTTGGGATACGACCAGCAAGGAGTACGGAAAAAAAAAAAAAAAAAAAAAAAAAAAAAAAAAAAAAAAAAAAAAAAAAAAAAAAAACGAGGCAACGGCCTCGTGGGGAACAAAAGGAAGAACAACCTTTTCAGGCTGTGTGGGAGCAAACCCAGCGTCCCACTCAGAAGAGCCACGAATATTCGTGGCCGCAAGATCTAGAATCTCGCGGCTCACGACGTGCAAGTGAGAAAGGAAGAAGAAGCTGGGGGGGCTGAAGAGAGAGAGGAAGGACGTGAGAGTTGGGACTGGGAGGACGTGCCTCTCCCAACCTGACAACCGTCCTCCCCGTTTCAGGGGAGGGCAACAGAGGGAAGGAGCATTTTGTTGGCAGACAAACTGCATGCTCCTGGCTCAAATCACGGCTAGTCGGGCCAGGAACATTGGAGTTGAGGAAGTTGGAGAGTTTTTTTTTTTTTTTTTTTTTTTTTTTTTAATTATTTTTGCCTTCGTGTGGACACTTGTCCTCACGTTGTGTTACCTCTGGTAAAAGCTGCCAGAGGTAACTATCAGGCTCCCGTTTTAAAAGGGAGCCTGAAAATTGAGAGGCCACAAAGAAAAAGGCTAATTACAGCCTTTTCCCCGATGTATCTGCCCTGTAAAAATGGTCCAGATACATCAAACTGAAAGGGGTTGTATCTCTCCAACCCCTTGTCAGAAAAATAAAGGAAAAACTTTTCTGAAAATTCCAGGACCTCAGCTATCTCGTGAATTTCGAGATAGCTGAGGAAAAGAAAAGAAAAAGAAAATAGGGTAGTTAAAGGAACTGCCCCACACTAAGGTTATGGCTTTGGTGCGGCCACAGTTAGCCCTGGATCTTGGACAGATCAAGGGCTCACTATGAGCCCGCGATTTTTCCTCGGGCCTAGAGTGACGCCCAACCCTCCTCAGCCACTATACAACTGGCAGTTGTCCCCCAGCTGCCACGCAAAGCACTCGTGATGCCAGTGTGTGACGAGCACATTTGAGTGCTGCTTGTTGCTGGAGGTGCTGCCTGAGGCAACGAGGAAAGAGGCTGGAGTTCTGCAAAGGAGCGCGAGGAGAGGAGCTGGGCGGCCATAGCCAAGGCAGGGAACACTCTGCTCCCCTCCCCTCTAGCTCGCACTGGTCCCGCGGGACTGATCTAGGGGCACAGCGGGACTACAGCAGTGCAGCGCTGTGGAATTTGAAACTGAGGCCCAAATTTTACTAATTTCAGCCAGCCCTTTTTTCGCTGTAATGGAGAAACGCTGCCGAAATTTTATAGCGGTAAAAAGGACGTTAACTGCAGTGGTGCGGAATCGCTGCCGGATAGTTGCAGCGGTGACTCTGGTTTTAACGGCAGTGGTCCGGAAGCGCTGCCGGATTTTTGCGGCGACAACTTTGGTTTAACAGCGGTGGTGCGGAAACGCTGCCGGAATTTTGCGGCAGCGGCTTTGGTTTTAAAGGCGGCGGTGCGGAAGCGCTACCGGATTTTTGCAGAGACGACACTGGTTTCACGACGGACGTTGTGTATTGTCCAAAAGGGACCAGTGGGACTCGCGAGCGGAACAGGTGGTACCGACAAGGGGAGAGTGGTCCGTTATTTTTTGTGAGAACCAGGAGAGGCTGTGTTGACTATCGACATTAACTTGAAGTAAAAACAAAGGCCGTGGGACTACCCGGGGCCACTTGGCACTAGTTGGCATCACCGAGAACCACTTGGTACTAGTTGGTACCAACGCGGACCACTTAGAACTATTTGGCGCAAACGTGGGACCACCTGGTGCCAAGTGGGACTCGTGGGACTTGCCGCCTATACGTCCGGGACTGCCCCAAGAAATACTAGTGAATCGGGTGTCGACCGAGACCAGTAACCTACTCAGTTATACTTGAAACAACATAAAACTGATTGTGTGTGTGTGTGTGTGTGTATGTGTGTGTGCATGCGTGTGTGTGTGTGTGTGTGTGTGTGTGTGTGTGTGTGTGTGTGTGTGTGT